AACAATTACTACCTCTCTCTCTCTCTCTCTTTCTCTCTCTCTCTCTCTATTTGCTCAAGTTTTATAAATGAAGATGAAAAAATGGATAAAAAGTTCGGAGTATGTTTGTATGTCTGTCTATATACAAGTTGAAAGTTATCGTTAACAGGATATAAAATATCCTGTTCCGATTCCGGTTTCTCTTCAAAATGTATAGAATATACCTTTCACTCTACTAAATCTCTTCCTTCTTCCTATACTTTATCATTATTAATTCTTTAATGTGGAAAAAAAAATCATATCACAAAGTATTAGCATGCTACTGGCTATGAAATTACCACATTACCGTAATGCTGGCATTACCGCAGTACTGACAATAAACATGTCAAATATTAATTCATTTATATAGATTGTATGAGAAATTACTGGAATATCTGTGAAATATGTGAATGAAATGAAAAGGAATAATTTTAATCAGAATTGATTGGAATTGATAAAATTAAATTCGAGAAGAAGAAAGACTTAAATATTTAAAAATAAAAAAAATTCCATGAATGACAGAAACTTTTTCCAAGCAATGAATTAACATTTCTTTTTATCAGTTCAAAAATATTGTCGGATTGGTTCATTTATTTATTTGCGCCTTTTTAATCTTCTGCATCACAACTTTCCCATATGTTAATAACGATATTTGCATATGGAAACTATCATTAATTAGGGGTGTTAATTATTAGAAGTAGTCCTTCACTTCGAATGATTCGGAAATTAGCAAAAAAATCATTTAGAACAACTAAAGTTGATCCGGAATAACGATCCATCATTTCGATTTGTCGATCATGCTTCGAGTTAACTAACATAATCGGCACTTCGGTCGTTAAAATTTCGGATAGTTATGGAAGAAATCCGTAAATTGGCCAAAGCAAAAGTATTTTGTTCATGAAATTTTCCGGATATTAAAACTCGTTCTATCTTCTTAAGGAAAAAATATCCCATGGAAGAATAATACTGGCGAAGAGAAACGAGAATTGTTAAATCTCACATTTTAGCATCTTAATCCATTTGAATTGTAGCGATAATTTGTCCCTCCAAAGATTCTTTTTCTTTTAAAACTTCCGGTTTATAAACAGATTACATTTCACAGAAAAGAATTTTCCGGATAACCTAGTCGGTTACTGATTACATTGTGCATCATTTAATCAATTTAATGTTTGCACTAAAACCTAAAACGATATTTTCTTTCTTGTAAATTATTTTCATTCATTTTAAATATAATTAATTGGCTAATATATTAAGTTAGGATAGACAACCTTAAAATTTAAATTATTCAAAAAAAAGAAAAGGACAAAAATCTACCAGAAATTATGAATGCTCGTTTTTTTCCCTTTTTTTTCAACCCAAACTTATGAAGAAAAAGAAATTTTCGGGAAAGCATTGAGGAAAATTTCTAACAAATATAATCGGAAGAGAAAAAAAATCAATAAACAAACAATTAAAATAGTATATACCAATAAAGAAGTGAAAATTGATACAATGACTGTATTGTAAATCTAAATTAAAAATTATTGGAAATTAAAAAACAAAACAAAACAATTTCATTCTCATTTACAAACTAGATCGTTATTTCTCTGATTTGTTATCAATTTCTAAATTATTGAAAATTAGTTATCAAAGAATAGTAAAATTTTCATTCAATTCTAATTTTGATCAATTTCAAATTTTTATCTGTAAGCCAAATTAATATAATAATCTAAATGAATATGACAAAGAGTATGTTTAAGACAATGAAATCATTGAAATGTTCATGTATTACCATGTTAAAATGAACAATTATCAAAGGTACCATCACTTGTGATCGATGAAATTTGAAATTTAACAGGATATAAATATAATACGTGGATATTTTCCATGCGAAAGATTTCTGGTTAGTTTTTAATTCCTGAAATTCAAATTGGAACCTGAAAACCACTTGCATAAAAAAATGAAAAATAAACACAATAAGCATAAACTAAAAATTTACTTAATTACAACCTTATGCTTTTTACACACATCTAATGAAGGGATTTTAGAATTTAAAAAAACGAATAAACAGAAGTGTTCAATGTATATGCGGATAGTCTTCCGTCTAATAAATCGATATTGGTCAATTACTGAATATATGCTTAAAATGAGTTAATAAGTTAAACATTATCTGAATATATCTGAATTGCAAAAAAAAATTTAAAACTTAAAACTTCGTGTAAATTAAGCAACTACAAGCATAAAATGTAATGTATCATAATTTTCGGCTGAAATATCCGATAATCATGAAAATGAGGTTTGTCAAAATTTGAACAAATACATTCTGATAGAATGTGTGATGCTTCTAATCATGAAAAGATTAAAGGTATAAAAATAAGAATGTATATTGGGTATGATATAATGAAAAGTAAAAAAAAAGCTAAAATTATGATATGTACAATTTGTCCAGATAGGCCATAATCATAATTAGGCTACAAACTAAAGCAGACAAGAATTAAATACTACCAAAAAAGAAAAGAAGGAGACAAATAACTACAAATATCTCATTAAAATTACCGTAAATTCCAGTAATTCGAAAAACTTTCTCACATATATTTTTCCATTTACAACGATACCTGTAATATTTGTAAAAAAAAGAAAAGAAAAACTGTAATAAAATAACTTTGCCAATGGATTGTTGAAATTTCGAATTATTTCATTTGACTGTTATGATAAGAGATAATTTTAGATATCAGATAATAGAATGAGACTTAACAATGATAGATCAAGGGACAGGTTTCCAATTAATACTTCTAGCAATTTCTACTACATCGATTCAGGGTTTTCATACAGTACGATTCTACTAATCTATTCACTGAAGTTTGGTAAAATCCAAAGAATATTGGGGAGAACTCAGCTAATTACGATGATTAAGGTTTGCATTACGTGTATGTATAAGATTATTTTCATGTACAAGTACGATTTATTCCTACCATACAAACGAATGAATATAAATGAATTATGAACAAGCATAATAAAAAACCAGTATGAGGTGATCCTTCCACATCTGGAAAACAAAGTGTAATTAAAAGAACGAATAGAAAAAAAAATGAAAAAAATACGACGAAAAGAACTCATTTTCAAATACGGAAAGAAGAGAGTTGAATGTTCTTGACGTAAATGAGATTGGAATAATTTCTCGAAATGATGGGATACGGGGAAAGTGGTAGAAAGGGAGAAGTGAGGTGGTAATAACAAATTACTGACTGAATATATCACGAGACTAGAAAAAAAAAGGAATTGCTTAAAAGTATATATAGCTGAGTTTTTCTAGAAATCTATGTTAGTTCTTATGCAAAATTATTAATAATGATAAAAGTCTAAGCGAGGATTCATGTGTTATCGGCCCTTATTTTCAGTTATCCAACAGTTTCTCTTTTTCTTTTATTATGTTGCTTCATTTGAAGTACCTTACCAATAAATTTCAAGGAAGTTAAAATTGTAACATCAAAATTACGTTGCCACATAAAATAATACCTAGAAAACTGGAAATCACAAAATGATATCTGACATCTCAAACTAAATCACTTTTTTCTTAATGTGATATTGCTAAAGTTATTCCAATCATCTTTGAAAAGTATTGCGACAAAAGGGAACGATTTCTAGATAATAATATTAACTCTGAAGTCAGTTAGATACACATATATTTTTATATAAATGGTATGCCCGAAAGACATACAAAAAGACAAGGCTTGTTGTAAAAATAGAATTCACATTTTAAAATTACAACAACCGAATTTAAATTGAAAATTCCAAATCAGAAAACAGACCTAATCAAAATAACATTAAAAGGCCGCAGCAAAAACAGAATTTTCATATTCTTATTAGATCACTGTTAGATGGAATACTTTCCATTATTTACAAGACTTACAAAGGAGGCATCCCTATTATGCTAAATAAACTGGTGATCAACTACTCAATCTACGATCCATTTTAGGCATCGTAACAAGATATCGTCGTTTCTTCCTTAAACTTCGCCTTAGCAATTCTTTTTCTTGCAGTAATATATCTCGTACTAGGCTTCGTACTACACTACGTATAACATCTTCGTCCGTTTCTGTATCATGTGACGGATTCAGTGTGAAGTTTGATGAGCATCTATAAATTTACAAGAAAATCAGTCCTTGAAAAATGAATTCCAAAGTGGAAGATACCCAAACCAATGAAGAATGACAAATTTGGAGTAATAAACACTGTATCTCAGTGATGGAGCACTTAATAGTTCAAATGATTTCACACTATCAACGCGTCAGGAAACCTTCACACTATCAACGTGTCAGGGAAACCCACCCGAAAACTCGAAACATGCGTTAATATTAAGCATCGCCATTTTTTTAAGGTCATCATCTATTTCATATCTGAAGGGAGAGAATTAAGTGATATCAGTGACATAGGTTTAATAAGAAGTCAGAATGTAACTAAAAGTAAGCTGTGCAGGATTAAATTCGCATTAAATATGTCTAAGTTACCTGGGAACGGATGAGAGCGAATGAACTACCGGTGAGCTTTCGTTGTTGGCGTTTGTGGTTCCAAATGAAATCTTCCGAAAGTGAACTAAATCGTAGTTACTTGTCTAAAACAATACAACTGAAGCTGTGCTCTCACATTATAGGCAAATATGTAAATAAATTTCGTATAATTATGAAGCAAAAGACAAAAGGAAGTAGTGAGTTAGAGAATTCTAATTTGATGATAAACAGACTATAGCATTAATGTTAGCATCAGAACCACTATCCTTACTGTATCACATCGAAAAACATTTCCAAAAATGACCAAAATGTTAGTCATCAGATTCTTACGTCCACTCACCTCGTCGATTATTTCCGAGAATTCAAAAAAAAAAAGAAAAAGGAATGATGTTCTCATTAGGGTAAATTTTTAAAAAACAACACTGTTTACCTCATAAACAATGTAATTGACCAGATCTCGAACCACTTCTTTTACCACACTAGTTTCTGCCGAATCATTTGTCATTGAAGAGCAACTGGAAAAAACCGTCTCAGATTTCATCGTTATGCTGTTTTCATGATTCTTTACTTTTTGCCGTGATTGTTCCATAACACCTTCTTCATAAGCAGAGCATTTTTCAACATCAAACTTTGGAGCAATATTATCCGTGAATTTAACCGCAAACGTAGCATCCCCAAAATAATCCTGTGTTGGTGGTGTATCTGGGCCATGTTGTAAGGTAACGACGGCAGTGAATTGCACAGAATCAGATTGAATGCTTTCCTCGATTAGGTGTTTCTGAACTACCATTCCTTCGTGGGAATTCATTGCATTTCTCGTATCACAGCTTCCACCTTTTTCTTGAGGTAATGCACACTTCACGCCTTTCTCACCGTTTCGAGATCCAAAGCTTCCTGATAATTCATTAATACCAAGAAATTCTGTATTTTTTGACTTTTCTGGTCGTTCAGTTGTTAAATTTTCGACTTCTGAAGTTGTACCTTCCGTAGTCAAAAATTCAGATCCTTGTATATCAACCGCAGAACTTTCACTGAGTGATCGATGTAGTGAAATGCAATCATCTGATTTAGCTTTTGCTGTTTTTTGAATCGATGGGCCTACCTGTTCGACCTAAAAATGTCGATGAAATGAACAGAAATTCCATTAAAAAAAGGGACGAAAATTATTTGCCCAAATTCAAAGTGACTTCATATACGATAGTCAAAGCCTAACATGGCTCCATCGGTAATACCGATGGTCCAACCACTCATGCAAGTTAACGTACCTTAAATCGTGACTTTGCTCGGGCAACATCTCGTGGATTTGTCTCATTTAAACTTGACGTCGAAACTGTAAAGCGCCGTGAGATTTTTTTCACCGGTGGGCTAACTTCAGTTTCAGGATGATCGCCGGATGTGATTGAAGGAAGAGATGGACATTTAGACAGCTCGCCTGAATTCAGAATTTATTTTCGGCAATGAGAATTTTTTTTGGTTCTCGTCGACTTTGAAAACTGCTTAATCTTTCGACAAACTCCTGTAAAATTCAACCGGAATACTGCCATCATCTAAATGCATGGCGAGAGGGCATGATAAGATGATTCATATTTTATCAGAAAGATCGAAAAAAGCAGCTATCTACTGACAGAGAAGATCAGATCCAACCAGTACATCAACAAAGGATTCATTTCCTTTAAAATAATTTGAAATCTTGTGTTATGAACCAGTTCAAATGAATTTATGAATGGCTCTATCACTGCCACTATCCAACAACTGAGACAGATTGTATTGGATATAAATACGCATTTCTAGTGGTTGGAGTGAAACGAACTTTTTCCAATGCATTAAAAAACAATAGAACCATACTTTTGGTGAACAATACAGGATGGCTTTCATTTGATTGTTTCTTGATAGTAGTGACACTGTCCGGAATTTGCTCAATCAATGCTAATGAATGATGAGTCATCTGTGCAACGCGTTCCTAAATTGGTAAAGAAATGAACAACAGTTAAATGATGGACTTTCGCAGAAATTCATTTTTTTCCTTTTTTTTGTACACCAAATTAGTAAACTGATTGAAGTGAACAATGGAACGTCACGATCGATGGTCACTAATCAAAGCAATGTAAGCATTGACTGTGGCGAATATAAATGCTCACTTAAATACGTTCATCTTATTTGTGACCATTTTAGCTTTTCTGTTACATCTAGACAAATATTATTAAATTAAAAAAGAAAAACTTCCAGTTGTTTTATACAAGTTCATTCGCCGCGATTCATCAACGAACTACCGAAATGGCGATAGAACTACATATAATTAAAAACCCACCAAGCAAAATGTTTAGCATAGGGTACCGCTGAAGGAAAAAAAGTTGGAAAGAAAGAATACTCACTTACCGAGATATCATCGATGGTCTCAGTGCATGTTAAAGATGAAGATCGACCCAGCAACCAAACCGCATTATTTGATTTGGTGGTTACTTTTCGTTGAGCAACTTCCAAATTATCAATTTGCCGATTCTTCACTATTTCCGCTTTCTGTTCCTTTTCTTCATCCTCTTTCTTTTTGTCCTTCTTCACCTCCGCATACTCCTCATTGTGTGTCACATCCGTGGCAACGGTGCCATCTTCGGTGGTTGTAAGAACCGAAAGTTTTTTAAGTGCAATTTCCTTATTTCGCTCACAAAACATTTTGATTTCATCATAGTAAACTTCAAACTGTTCCTGGTATTCTTTAACCTGAAGAATTAGCAATCTCATATTCAAATACAAAGAAAGGAAAGCAAACAGTTGTTATTGATACTTCATCAAAGCAAAGTAAAAGATATTTACCCAAACCAATTCTAGCAAAATCCAATCTGAAGACCTCATAATATGCTTTACATCACGTATTGGCAAAAGCAAACTAACTAGAAACGCCTATGTCGACCACTTAGAACGAACGTGCAAACCAACCGAGGCGTAAAGTAGTATAATTCTTCTATTCTTCATAGTGTTAAGTAAATTTAAAAGGTCAATTCATAGCCACTAATCATGCCATTAAGCAAAACACAACTAGTACATGGTTGGCCAAGCCTAACGAATCCTATAACCTCAGGGAAATTATCATACTGATCACATGTATCCTATATTAATAAGGATTCAAATCTAAGGATGACAAGTTAAATAATTTGATCCAAGTTTAAGGCATTCCGCTCATGCGGATTGAGATGACTAATAATTAATTTCGCAGTAAGAATTCTATAAGAGTATGTTTTGCATAAAATGAACAGTTCAACAGTGCTGAAAAAAAAATACTGTTGAAATAGGAAAACGCAAAACCTTTAAGCTACTGGACTGGGCAACCGATATATCCAAATTCAGAACTGTTAGTGAAGTATTCATTTTCATTGCAAGGTGAAGTGCCAACAGACCAGCCGATCCAATATGTGGGTTATCTCGTAAATCTAGTCTTATCATCACTTTGTTATCCGCTAAACACTCTGCTAACACAATTGCACCTAAACAAATAATTTCACAATCACTTTGATTTTTAATGGACCAGAAAATACAAACAGGCCAATAAAGTAATCCAACATATTCACAAATGAGGTTTCTACCATATTTATTTCCTCTTTTAATATTAAATCTTCAAGGAAACCTGAATGAAACTAAAAATCAGATAGAACTTTTAATAATCAAGTTTTTTGGCAAAATTATATACAAGCATGGCATAATCTTCTAGTTACTGGAAAAGATTTCTAGTTGAAACCAAGCAGTACGACCCATTAAAAGAAAGTATTTGATAGCTTCTTTTAATATTCTTTGCCAATTGAAACAGCTTACATATAACTACAACCAGCAATCAATCATCATACAGCTGCCAAAAGATTTGCTGCGTTGAAAAAATAGTATCAGTAACAAAAAATTCACTAAAAATAAGCATCGAGAAAATTCGAATTTACTTGTAAAAGTCTCCTAAAGTTTTGGTAGATGAACGGAGTGGACATACTTTGACAATCAAGATTTGTCGCCTGTAAGCCAAGTCTCTGCAAACTACAATTCTGTTGCAACGCTGGCTTCAGCTTAACAATACCTTCCAGTAATAGACTGTTATTACCAATATTCAACGTCTCCAATTTAGTATTTTCCATCTGCAATTTACAATTTCGGTATATTGACCTGCTCTCCGAGAAACTTTTGACCCAAGAACTACATTTGATGCAACGCAAGCATTTTGAACATTAATATTTGCGTTTAAGCAAGTTTGCATATAAATAATGTCAGCTAGCATTTATTAAATAACATTATAAGCTTTTGCTCTTCACTCCAAAATTTACACAAAACAGTTTGACAGATCTATTAAATTATCTTCGATAAAAGAATAACAAAAGCTCCATCAGCGAGAGATTACCCATTAAAAAAAGAGAGCAAACTGATATTGCTGAAATTAGAAAATAAATAGTTTAACCAAAAACTGACCAGTGCTTGCGCCAATGCTTCCATTCCACTATTTGTTAATCTATTATTCCATAGTACTAATGCTGATAATGCACTATTTTTAGCTGTATCACGGTGCCTCAGTGCGTCACAAATATGGCGTAAACCACCATCCTAAATCCGTATCAGATTGTTTCACAACTCGCTATGTTAAAATTGGCTATTTCCAAAGTACAGGGATTAACCATAGCAATACATTAAGTTACGAACCATACAGCTCTTCCAGTTTTTATTGTCATTGCCAATATTTTAAGATTTTCTGCAGAGAAATCAAACAACGTACTTTTCACCTATTACCAATAAAAGAAGTAAGAGATTTCATCTCATTCATTTAAAACTTGCAAAGAAATACAAACCTGTAATTGATTATTTCGTAAATCAAGCAGTTGAATTGATACACTAGTGATGATAATTTGATAAATATGAGCACCATCTGCAGGCTGTAGGTTATTTTCACCTAAATAAAGCTCTCGCAATATCGTATTTCCCTTCAGTGCGCATCCTGCAACAAAATTATGCACGCATTGAGGTTATATTGTATTCAGTACGAGTAGTGTTTCAAACCAGCTAGCATTAGCATGAAAACTTCTCATGATAAGAAAGTTCTTCTTTAATTTCTCATGTGACATAAGGGAAAGAGTATCTACACTATTTAAGGGTAATCACGTTACGTTACTCTTCGCGGTTAACTATTACTAGTAGTAATGAGCTGCCTTACCTTCTTAGTACAAATGTCATTTAAAGAATTTCAGTTCATTGGATAAAATCTTTGACGGATTAAAAAAAGTTTACAATTTCTGCTCGCTCCTCAGAAAGAGCACAAATGAAAGGGGCATTCTCTTATTATTTTGTCGAATGCAGTAATTAAAATTCTTCTGCAGTTAAGGAACTCTCATTTTGCTTTTCTCGTAATTATAATTCTCGAAACATTACCGAACTTTCATTGTTATAAATTTCATAAACTTTCATTCTGATGGAAACATTATCGTACGAACCGATTAAAATCAAGTTTCGCCCCGAAAGAGACACATTTTCCAAATGAAGAACAGTTAACGACGATTGGGAACGTAAAGCTCGTGCCAACACCGGTACAGCACGATCAGATAAGGACGTGTAGCGCAAATTCAAATACTGCATAGAAGGTGCCTTAAAAAAAGGACATAAAAGATGATCCAGAATTATTACTGCAAAAAAGTGTGGAAAGTATCGAATTAACCAAAGATCTGAAGGAAACATGTTTTCAATCTATGGAAAATTTTTAGCTGAAATGTTTGGGTAAACTAAAACAATTCAGATAAAAATTTCTCACACCACACGTAAAATAAAGGCTTAGAACCACTACAGTATCATTTCCAAACAAACAACGTAGTCAGAAATTAGCGAACAGTTTCGCGAAACCATGAAATCAATTTTGTTTTAGGACGTAAAGACCAGAACTTACATCCCTTACAGCCTTACATATGGCTTGCCAACCCCGCAAATTGATTTGCTTATTAAAGGACAAATTTAATTTCACTGCAGAATCATAAAATTCAAGCATCTCTCCAAGGCAGACGGCACTCTGAAACAAATGTATCAGGTATCACATAAAGAGATTGAGAAATCATTTTCAGAACTCCACTATAAGCTGGAAAAAGGTTCCGCAAACTTAGGTTCATGAACTTAAAATCGAACATTACAAAAATAGTGGAATAATACATTCGATACTTCAGTTTACTTGGAAAAAAGGCTACAAACTCCTTACGTCGGTACAAGTTCTCCACTCCCATCACGGTATTGAGGTGCTAATTGGACACTAAGCCTTATCTTATGGTACAAATTTGCTAAGTACAAATAAATCTAAACAACTTACATCGTCATCTAGAAAGGTGTATTCGAAATCAAGCATATCAAACTGAACTTTATTGAAAATTTCTTCCAAACATTCCACGTCAGTAGAAGATAAACGATGACCTAAACTTATTTTTTTTAATGTCATCATCAAAGCTAAACTTTAAAGAGAAGATTTGGGAAGGAATCTACCCATGCCTGCTGCAAACGCTACAGATGTGGGTGTATTCTTCCATCCTGCACAGATTTTTTAGGTGAGGCATCGCATGCACAAAACTGATTCCAGTCTTTGCTCCTAAAATTTACCTGTGAGGGCTTAGCAGGCTAGGAAGATGACAGGGAAGTCCTTAAGACAGAGGTTTCGTTAGAGTACCCTTCTCTTAAATGTTAGAGTATATTTCTCCCTTAAAGGGACTAAGCGAGCTCCAGCTGCCTAATTTTAAGGCCTAGGAAAGAAGGGAGGCCAGCGAGCCCATCCTGCTTGTGAGTCTGACCCTTCAGTTGAGACCTGTCTGACATGGGAAACTCTATCACTGATTCATTAACCATGTATCTTTCGTAATGCCTGGTTTTTAAACGAAAAATAATCGAAACTTCATCACAAAATTTCTTAAACAATGAAAAGAAACCTTCATTTTACAGCTCCAGAACATTTAACACCAGAGTTTATGAAAAAAAAATCAAATTCAAGGATCGCAAGAAAAAAAAAAACCTTTTAAGGAGAGACATTCTTGGCGTACACCCATCACTTGATGAAAACACTGAAATAGCTTTTTCAGAATCAACAATCAATGAATTCAAGAGTCAATACTTTATCCCCATGATTCTCGGATAAAACTACCTTTGACAAACATCCAAAAGTCATCGCAACACTCTACTCGCATAACCAAAAACCGAACGCAGGATAACTTTACGCTGGCCTTTCTGAACAAACCTATTACATCAACCCCTAGACTACTTCACTGAATTCTCTGCATCAGAGAGCCAGGAGTAGCTGATCAACATATTTTTTTATTTCGGTAACTTATTTAAAGCTTTCGGGAATTATCCCTGCAGTTCCTAGCCATTGGTATCTTCCAACCTTAATGAATTATCCAACTAAGAATTAATTTGGTTCCATCTGATAGATCCCACTACATTTCTTTAATTAATAGTTCTCACTTCATCGTCAAATATCCTTTCTCATGTAGATTTGAAGTCTTTATGAGGCATATTATGCATAATAAAATGGGAGATGAGACAAGCTTTGCATCGTAAGTGTCATCATCCTCATCAAACGTGTTGCAAAAACCGTTTGGTGAAATAGATGGAATTGATGGTGAGAACCATTACTACATCTGAAACTCTAATGTTTTTCCTTTTCAAAGCAAATTGAAAGAAGATGGAAAAATATACGGCTATTTGATCTTGCACAGCTTGAATTGGATCGACTCGCAGACGTTTACAAGCATTCAGGTAGGAAATACTGATGGCACTGGTGTCATTTGTATCTGAAAATATGATAAAGATAACGAAGGCATAATAAATTCGTCGAAATTTTGTATCTTTATAGAAAGAATTACGTCTAACTTATCAACTTTAACAATTACTGTCAAGTCGATAAATTAATTAAAGTAATTAAAATTACAAAATTTTCGATAAACCTACGGTTTGTCACTTCTGAAAAATATGAAAAACGACGGACAAGTTGTGAACAACATAGCTATGATATACTTGGAAATGATCGAATACAAAATAATAGCTTGAAATCGATGAAAATGGGAAAGAACTACAATGAGCTGCGGAGAAGCTTGACTCTATTCGGATCACGCAATCGTTTCTCTTCCATTAATGAACGCGACTTCATATTTCCCCAATGAATTTTTCGAAGAGAACTTCAGATCAAACTGACAAATCATTAATCAGAAAAATCCATTTGAACTACTAATTCTTCAAGCTAATTTCATCAACTCTTACTAGTGAAAATATTTGCAGGTGCATCGTAGAAATCAGTTACAATAACGTCCGGAAAATGAACATTTCGCCTATGGGAGCAACGCTGTATCTTTTCATCTTCATTTGTGATTTCTGAAAAGAATATGTTTCGTTAAAGGTAGTAAATGTTTCCATAAAACAAATAAATGCTAAGTGGAAAAGTGCAACTGATAAGAAGTTGTAATAAATATTTTTTCTTGATGCTTATTGCTATTTGTATACTCCAGCAAATAATTAATTTTCTTTCTATCACATGCAACACTAACCTTTCGAATCGTCCAGTGTTATTTTTTGGAGAAGTAATTCTTGCTGTTTTTGCTGAACAGCGTTACAGCTATTACTAATATCAGAAATATATTTAAATGAATTTCCTTCGTTTTCACTAGGGCTCAAATTGACCGACGATGCTGAAGGTGATGATAATAATGAAGAACTTGTTGTTGCTGCTGCTACTACTACTGATGCTGATGTTATTGCTGCTGTTGAAGTAGATGATGCTAGCTGTTGTTCCTCGTGTTGCTGTTGTTCACTGCTTGATGATGACGTGTCGTGTAAACCCAAGAAATCTTGTAAACCCGCAAAAAATTTCATGGACATTCCAGCACTAATATTTCAATCACCGGATGTAAATTATCGAAAAAAAAGTCAAAAAATAGGAAAAGAAAAAAAAAACTTCCTTGCAAAAAGTTTATCAAAAGCAAAGCTTTCGAATTGTTTTTTTTCTTTTATCACTGTAAAAACAATGACGTCATGCACTCAGAATGTAGTGATAGTAATAGTGATTGAAGCAATAGTTAGGAGTAATAGAATGTAGCAAATCTACAATTTCTTTCACGTTTAATAATTCCAACAACCAGTTGGTGTCATAAATTGTCTGATGGTACCACCACCCGCAGCAGTAATGGTAGTAGTAGTAGTACCATTCTTCATCTAATCGTTCCTTATTGCTCAGATTTGCTATTATCTGTCCACATTTTTGACCATTATTCATTGGACCACTATTCACTTCAAAATCTACAAATTTACTGAATTTTTAACCATATCATGAAGATGAAAACAGCAATTACGCTAAATCATTGATCATCAATATAACATCTCTAAATAATCATTAGCGATACGGTAATTAGTTTTATTATTGATGTTCAACGATATAAATCAATTCAATGATATTCAAATAATATGTTTCAAATTGTAAATGATAGTATTATGGAAAAATTTCAATTGCAGTAAGATGGAAAGAAAAATGTAAACATGTAGTATTGTAAAAATATAACATATAATGTGGGAATACAAAGTGTACATATAGCTAAAATTTTTTTTTCTTTTTGCATTTGAAAAAAAAGATTTTCTACGACGAAAACTGAATGGAATTCGATACGATTCGAATCTATCCTAAATCAATTCATCTTTCTCTCCTTTCCATCAGATATCTCAAAACCTCCTAATCCCGCATTTCCTCTTCTCCCCCGCTTTCCTAACAAATTTATCTTCGTCAAATCGAAAATAAAAACATACACCACAATTTAATGCAGCCGGTCAGAGTAAAAATTTAGTAAACAAGCAATAAAATTTTCAGTGTTCGAATAAAAACTAATTAAGTGAAATATATTTTCTTATAAAGAGAAATATAATTGTTTATAAAGAGAATATAAAGATTGATAAGATTAAGGGATATTATAAGTGAGGAATTGAGAGCATTAAAATGAATAGTGTAGTAATATGAGAGAGATGAATAGAATATTAGACGATATTTTATGAAAAAAACAGTACAATAAATAATTCATTTGCAAGGGTATGTTTGCTAATTTCATACGGATTTTTGAAATATAATGAAAATGCGTTGCTAAGGTATAATTGTGATGAAAATAATTTGCTCAATTCAAAAAAAAGTGAAACGAATGAATGTAAATTTCATCACTTCGTGGATTTAATGAGAGGTATACGGAAGATAAATGCGTGATATGTTACGTGAACATACTCGAATACCTATGTGAAATGTCAAACAATTACGTGAAAAACAGTGCTTGAATAAGTATGTGAAGTATCACGTAGTTATGCGAAAATATTTGAATACGTACGTGTAGTATCACGTTTACGTGGACGTTTGTTCATACTTGAACAAATATATGAAATATAATGTAGTTACGTGAACATACTTGGACACGTGTGCGAAATATCACGCAATTGCCTGACTTTTTAGTATAGTTTCTTTTTTTTTCAATTCCTTAAATTTACACCAAATATTATTATTATTATTAAGATGTTTCATTCATTCAAAATCCTTTAACTAATTACTAAATCACATTCAAAAAAAAAAAAGCATTACTCATTTCTAATTCCATATAGAATAATGTTTTATTCTCCAAAGTATATCTTATCCTAATGTATTTAAGCTTTTCGTATTTATTTCTTTCTCATTTTTTGCTAAATGTTTAGGTTTACGTAAACATTTGGCTTCCTCTAATTTTATTGCTAAGCGTTTTTCCACGTCCGTACGTCTCCATCTAACATCATTTTCACGCTAGGACAATTATGCTAGCTAACCAAATTTATCAGATTAAAAGCTATTTAAACGTGATTTGGTTAAACGCCAATGTATTTTTTTTCTTTTTTGATTGTAAAAAAAAAAAAAATTAACCTTAGCTACACGCTTATTTACCAATTATTATACAATACAATGCTAAGAAAAAAAAAAGCCAACCCATTCATTCATCATTAATTAATTAGCTAACTATTTGGTTCAAATGGAATTAGCAGGAAGGTTATTTTTTCAATTTTTCTTTTTTACATTGTAAAAGGATGTATGTAATTAGCCAACAATGTAAAATGGGCCAAATCAAAATAAATACCCAATAGAAGAAGACAAAGGTGACAATACTTTCGCCCTTCTTTTTTTTTTTTTTTTTCATTTTACCTAATTCCATTATATTGCAGCCTCGTATTATTCCTTTACTCTTTTGTCGTCATTTTTGAACATATATAATATATTTATTTACTCATATTTATTTATTTATTTATCGATCTATTTTATATTTATATATCTTTCCCAAAATATCCCTTTCTCTCTCTCTCTCTTTGTGTACTTAGTCCTTGTCATGATACACTTCACAATACATTCCGCTCTTGAGTAGGAGATCTTTTTAGAAAGCAATGGCAATGCCGAGAAAGTATGTCTATCCAGCTCTCGAGAATGACTGACACACACACACACACACACACACACACACATATACACACACACTGACATACAAGATATACTTTGAATAGTAAACTATCCCAACATTTATCAAAAAAAAAAATCGTTGAATGAATCAATTTATCAATTTTGATGGAATGTGTGTGTATGTGTGTATGTGTACGTTTGTGTATGTGTGTATGTGTATGTGTGTGTTTGTGTGTGTGGTTTGTATATACTGCAGAGAGCTAAACGGCTATACCCTTTGGCGTTATCCTCCGTTCACATTTGCAATCGAACGGTGCCTCCCTTTCTCGAGTACATTTCGGTGTCATCGTTTTGTTCGTTGATTGTTGTTGTTGTTGTTGTTAGTGTTCTTGTTATTGTTGTTGTTATTATTGTTATTATTATTGTTTTATTATTGTCGTTATTGTTGTCGTTATTGTTGTCGCTATTCCTATTATTGTCGTTGCTGTTATTATTGTTGTTGTTATTGTTGCTAATTGTTGCCAATCGTTGATGTTGATGTGGTCGTTATTGTTGTTCATATTATCGCTGTTGTCACTGCCTACACTATATAGTAGCAGTAGTAGTGGCAATAGTAGCAGTAATAGTAGTAGTGATAGTAGCAGTAGTAGCAGTAATAGTAGTAGTGGTAGTAGTAGTAGCAGTAGTAGTAGTAGTAGTAGTGGTAGTAGTAGTAGTAGTAGTAGTAGTAGTAGTAGTAGTAGTAGTAGTAGTAGTAGTAGTAGTAGTAGT